CAACTCAGCCATGGCTAATCCCGCCACCGACTCATCCTCTGTCTCAACTGGTTTGGACACTCCACCGGATCCAGAGATACACCAAGGACCACTAACACTCTCCAAACATAGCAAACATCCAACAGGAGAGAAATTTTCAGTCTTAGTCTTCAAAACCCAACGGCTCTTTGTAACTGTACCAGGAACACACCCCGTGCTCCCACTGTCACAGAATCCCCTGAATGGTTTAGAATTTCCGACTCGTTCAGCTAACATCCCCTTGGCTCCAGAATTCATGTTTGCAAAATGAACTCTCTTAGCAGTAGATTTAGCGAACCAGATTTTGTTTTGCTTAATCGGGATGGTCATACTTCCCTTAGCAGGTACCTCAACCATATACAATGACCCACGCTTCATACCTTGAGCAATCACCGAATTACCATTGACCACCATCCATTTACCACCACCAAACCTTACTTCCAGTCCTTGTTTATCCAGCTGACCAACAGAAATCAATTTTTTCTTCAGCTCCGGAATAACCCTGACATTCTTCAGGCTCCATGTAGTTCCCAATGAAGTAACTAGATCAATATCTCCCATGCCCGTTACTTGAAGCATCTCGTCATTTGCTAACCGTACCTTTCCAAAATCTCCTTTTTTAGATTCACCATCGTTTCCCCGTTGTCCATGGCGTGAAACGAAGCCCCTGAATCCATGACCCAAGAGTCCACAGAACTTTCCATATTGAGTATCAGTGCATCATCCTCAGACACACTCTCAGCACCAGCAATGTTTAATTCTTTCTTTGGACATTGACTCTTAACATGTCCCGCCTCTTGACAGTTCCAGCATTTCACATTCTTCAAAGTTCTAGAAGAACTTTTTCCCCGACTCCCACTGCTCCTGCTATTCCCTCTACCTCTTCCGATATTTAATAAATCAGAAGAGGAAGATCCACCTTGATTCTTGCGTCTGATATCCTCGCCTAGAACCAAATCTCTAACCTCTTCAAAAGTCATACCACTGGTCCCCACGGAACTTGTAACAGCAGTAACTGTTCCGGACCAGCTATCAGGTAGAGAAGCTAGTAGCAGCGAAGCTTGAGTCTCATTATCAAATTTAATTCCCACAGATGATAATCTGGACAGAATTGAATTTAGATTATTAATGTGAACCGTAACTGAGCCTTCCTCATTCATCCTTGTAGTGAACAACTCCTTCATCAAGAACACCTTGTTGGCCGCCGATGGTTTCTCATACATATTTGACAGAGCCTCCATCATACCACGCGCCGTGGTTTCATTCATGATGTTGAAAGCAACGCTCTTCGTCAATGACAATGTAATAACCGTCTTCACTTTCTTGTCCTTTGAGTTCCACGCATCTTCAGCAACTTTTTCCATTTTCTCCGGTTTGTCTCCGAGTACCACGTCCAAGTCTTTCTGACATAGTAATGCTTCTAATTGCATTTTCCACCAGCTAAAATCAGAACCATTGAACTTCTCGATTACCACCTTGTCTTCAGCCATTATGACAAACAAGATACAAATCAGGTACACTCGTGCGTGATAAAAAAAACGATCGTACCCTCCAAACCTCGCTAATCTAGCTCTGATACCAGTTGTTAGGAACCGGACCGGGTACACGCAGCGGAAACACACTATCACACACACACAAACTCACGAAAATAAAGCAAGAAGAACACAAGGATTTTACGTGGTTCGGATTCGGTGCAAATCCTACGTCCACGGGCTGCAACTAGAGAATTTTATTAAAACTCACAAGATTACAATTGGATTGACACTCTACATTTGATGTTCTCTCAAGTTTTTGCACACAAAATATGCAAAACATACATGCATATATATATGTATATTTGTGAGCCGCAATATGCACAAGATTGCCGCAAAGATTGAAAAATGCGTAGATTTTTCTTTAGCCGTCCATTGATTATTCCACCGAAAGTTCGCGTCCAATTCAAATGTTCAATTGTTGCGTTCACATTAGAGATAGTGACAATAAATATTAAACAATTGATTCCACCGTCCATTCAACAATTCAATTGTTTTAATTTCCAAGTTTCATTTATGGCCCTTGAACTCTTAGGAACTTGTCAATTTGTTCATGACTCCATAAATCTTAACAGTTTTTCCCTAAAAAGTCCTTATGAAATATTTTTTGCATGGATGGTCCCTATGAAGCAAACCTTGTACATAAATGGTCTTTATGCCTACCACCGTTAATTTTTTGTTAAATATAATATGAAAAGACTATATTACCCTTATTTTATTTAGTTATTAACTAGTGAGCCTCTCTCTCTCTCTCTCTCTCTCTCTCTCTCTCTCTTTCTCACTTTATCTCCCTCCTAAACCTTGGATGGGGTGCCAGTCTGGTTAACTTAATCAAAATTGAAACCATGCTTCTTGTCGTCTTTGATATGGTTTTCAGGATACCATTGATAATTTCACTCTTCTCTCTTCAGGAAATATACTTCTTCCCGCTCCTAACCTTTTCTCTTCATTCAAGAAAGCTTCTCATTCCCTTGCCAATATGTTGAATTTCCTAATACCATATCTGTAATCAGGTATATAAGCACACACCTATCTTCAACATATCGTTTTTGAGAAGTAAAGAAAGAAACGGGGGAATCCATGGTAAGATTCGGATGAAAAGGGAACGCTTGAGTTTTTTTATTGAGGATGATTTTGATGAGTTTTATAGGTTACAAAAAAATATGTACTTAACACTTAAGGGCACATGCAATCTAAAGGATCTATGACATACAATTTGAATGCAACATACTATGAACAACTAACATGAACCCTAATTGGAAGCCTAGTATAATAAAAAACACATGAATAGGGCTACATATATTTGATTTGTTGTAGTAAACAAATCACTTCAATCCTTCATTTGAAGAGCTTGGAAAGCTAGCACCAAAAGTATGATGTCTCTAATGGCTCACACCCAAACCCTATAACTAGAAGACAATTGAGGAGAGAGAAGGAGAATAAAATTTTGTTCCTAAGCCTAATAGTAAGTGCATGAATGAAATCAAGGTCACAAGGGGTTCTATTTATAGTTTGGGTAACTTAGGACCAAGCAAGATTTGAATGGATTTAATTCCAATCCAAATCCTTTCCTTATATGAATCTAAGAGGTATATGGAAACCCCAATGAAGCTCCCAAAACCATCCACCCCTTGGATGGTTCTAGAATTGTTTCTTTTATTCAACTATTGAACAATTACAATTCACACATTGCACCTTTAATTAATTACAATTAATCCCAAATTAATTCCAGATTAATTATAATTAATAATTATTAATTCTAATTGATTTCTTATTAATTTGTTAACCTTATAAATTAACAAATTAATTGTTTAACTATTGATATCATATTAACTTATTAATCACATAATAAATTAATAAATCAACTATCTATTTACAATTAATATATTAATCATATAATATATTAACAAATCATTTCCTCATAATTTCCAATTAGATTATTAACCATATAATAATCTAATAATCATCCTCTCTATAGAATTACCATTCTAATCATGTTCTAGTTATGAGGACAACCCAAAAAAGATTTTGCTTTTAGTTACAAAAATATACCAATTTTGTTACTGGCTTAGACACCTTAATCCAACAAAAGTTTCTATTGAAAAGGGTTGTCATTGGAAGGTGGATGAAAAGGGAACGCCTTAGTTTGGTTATCCTCAACTTTTGAGCATCAGATATGTCGTTGTTTATCCAAGCTTGATTTTCAACTTCAAGAAACCCTAACTTCATCGAATTTGCCAGTGTGTGTAATTTGATCTCCAACTGTGTTTATGTGTGTATGTGATGATTTTTCTAGGTGTATCATTTTCCAGATCTGGTGGTGGTGGTATATGAATTTGATTGATGGTGGTGGTTGTGATCTATTGGTTAATACAATGGTATTTTTGATCTTTGATCGATGGTGGCCAACTAAGATAACGATGGTGATGTGAGTGCTCACGGGAGAAGATAGAAGGGTCGGTGAGATGTATTATTTTCCAGCCATCGATGTAGAAGATCCAACTGATGAGCACCACCCGAACGACTAAACCCTTCTTCTTTCTTGTGTCTTTCTTGTGTCTCCTGGATCAAACATGTTCTTTTTTTTAGATTGCAGGTGCTGTGGAGGTGTAAGGGTGGTGGTATTGGATGATGTACAGAAGAAGTTGATCTGGTGGTTTATGTGTTGGTTTCGATGAACATGGGATATGTCTATCGTGATATAATCGTGACTGATGAAGGCCTTTGGAGGTGGTTGGAATGGTGGTTGTGGGTGGTTTTTTTGTGGTATTTGTGTGACAAAAATGAATATTACATAAGATTTTTAACAATGTAATCGCATATGAGTAAGGACAAGGGTAAAAATGTAATTTCATATGGACTTAACAACAAATTTTAACAAAGTTAGTTATAAGGATCATTTGCGGGTAAAATTTTCTCCCAAATGACCACTAGTATGCAAGGTTCTCTCCATATAGACCATCCATGCAAAAGAAAAGGTTTCATAAGAACTATTTTAAGGAAATTTTGAAAAGCAATACGACCTTTTGTGAAATTTTGTCTATATTATATAAACAAAGACTAAAAATGAAAATACGCAACGGTGGTAGAGTCACTGCCTTCTTTGAGGTCACTAGTTTAAAACCAAGCACTCTGTGTTGAAATGATAGTTTTAAAATTATTACAAACCACGTCCGTCCAAAGTTCAATTCATCAGCAACCTCAACATGTTTAATGGTAACGTAAACAAACAATGATATTTTTTGAACAATTTTTTAATAAATGGTATCGTAAACCTACAATGATATTTTTTGAACAAATTATAAGATTATTGAAAATTACACTAAGCTCAAGTTAAAAGAATAGACATTACTTCTTTTAAACCAAATGGGCATGCAAATGGAAAGCATGGTAGCTATTAGCTAAGATTATAATAGTTATAACCCAATTTATACCTCCGTGCAGTTATGATCAAGTTTGGTGTTTTGGTTTAGAGAAAAAGGGATCCCATTCATGAACACCCACAGTCTCCTCATCTTCTTCTTCTAACAACGCATATTTCCAACTAAGTTCTTCAATAAAACCACCATTATTCCTCCGCCCAGCAACCAAATCCCTTCTCAATTTCGTCACCTTGTTGATAACCGCTTCCACAGATAGATCAAATGCGTCTTTTAAACTCTCCAATCTGGAACGAGGATCGGCATATATCAACCTCGGAATCAAATTCACCACCTCCTTCCTCATCATCTTTACAGTTTTGGAATCGATTTGACCTAACCGCTGTTCGATGCTGATATTCCGGCGAATATCGCCTTCCGGGATAAAAATGGAATATTTTGTGTACTTCTTCGGGAGATGCCACGTGTACTGCGTGTAAAACGAAGCGGGATGAAAGAAAACCGGGATACAACCCGCCAAAATCGAATCGAAAGCTGATCTTCGAGTATATGAATCGCCAGGTGGTTGTAAGCAGAAAACTGAACGTTGAAACATTTTCATTATATTACTTGGGGAATGACACTTGCTTTCATCATTTCCACATTCTAAAAGCTTCCCCGAGTTTGAATTCTTGCATTGATCGATTAAAAGACTTCGAATTGATTTCGGGTTACCGGGACGTAGAGCTCCAGCGAAACAGAACAGCCATTTCCGGTCAAGTTTCATCATCCGGTTTTGCCAAGTGAAAACATCGGAATCTTTTGATGGATGGAAGTAAGTAGGGTATGGAATGGCGAAATCGTTTGAATTAAATGGACTTGATTCTATGAGAAGAGCTGACATGTTCTTGGAAGCTGGTAAGAATAAGAATTTGTTTCCCCAATCGGTGTCTTTGTTGCTTAATCTCCTGAAATCCCAAGTGATTCTTCCTCCGACGAGAAAATGATCTTTTCCGTTCATCACTTTCCATTCATCTCTATTCTGCAACCAATCAACAAGATCAAGCGAAGCAGCATCCCTTACGGATGTGTTATACCCCCAAAGATATCTCGAAGCATCAAACCCTGCGTAAAATGGCGGCTGCCATTGACGAATCGTTGGTCAAGCATTCGTATTGTTTCATTCGGTTTCTGAAGATGACGTCGAGGGTGAACTGATTGGTGGCGTACCATCCATTATCGGAAAACACACCTAATTCAGTATTCTCTAATGGTGGTCCAACCCCAGAATTTTTAGTGAACTTACACATATCGAAGCATCTGTTAATGCTACCACATTCCTTCACCATATCTTCATTGAATCTGGAAGGAAGATCATGAACATAAACATACCTTTCACTACATGGATCACTCTTATTGTCTATGCTTCTTAATGCTTTCATAAAAGGGAAAACCTTTGGGGTTTTGGATGGAGAAACAGCCGATTCGGATTCGACATTCTCTGGTTCGTGACTAACAACAGGTATAGGTATAGATTCTTGAATCCTAGATTGGTTTGAGGTGGGACTGATTTGAAGACTGCTGCTCCAGAAAGTTCTACCTTGGAAAACACCGAAAGGGGAGTATAAGAAGCAAAACCAAAAGAGAGCACAGAGTAATCCAAATACGCACATTATACTTGATTGTTGGAAAACATGGCTGCTGCCCTTCGCCATGGATGCTATTGCTGGCTGGTCAATGGCGTCTTGTTACATTCAGAAAAAACAAATCACTGAAAATCTCCAGGTGATGAATGTAAATCAAACTGTTAACTAGTTTCGTTCAATCAAGAAACTATTGATATACAACCATAGTAAAACTGGATCGATTAACGCTTCAAATTCAGTTATGATTCTAACTTGACTAAATTGATTGAATGGCATTATTGAGAGAGAGAGAGAGAGAGAGAGAGAGAGAGAGAGTGGTGGCGATGAGGAGGTAATAGATTATTCTGTGAATAATGGATTAGTCCAAGGACCAAGGATGATGACGAAGCTTAAGTTGGCGTCATTAGCGCATAATATTGTATTATTGTATTGGATGGATATGGCATGATGGCATGATGCCAGATGGTGTTTTACTACTTTTTACAAAAGCAATGTGAGTAGCCTCTAATCATGTGCCGCGTGGAGGGTTATTTCCGGTAAACATTCCTATGGTCAAATAAGTTCTCCCCGCATATTCTGCCATCAAAACGCCAAAACTATATTTAAGTAGTCGAATGTCTTGTACATGGAATTTATTAATATAACTATGTGTCAGACCCATTTTTTACACGGGTTTATTAAAAATAAAATTTTAATATCAATATATAAATATGAAATATTTTATAATGTAACATAACATAATGTAATTTTCTGAAAATTTACAAAAGAAACTAAATCGTTTGAAATATTTATGAGAATTTATTACCAAATTAATAGAATGATTTTATTTCCTTATAGAACCCATTACAATTTTATGCAATTTTATTTTAAGAAAATTGAAATCCTTAAAAAATGACAAGTGGAAAATAAAATTTCTAAAATTCTCACAAAATGACAAGTGTCAAAATAAAGGAGAAGATGACATGTGGCAAAAAAACTTTCATTTATTAAAGATGATTAAAATTAAAATATTAATACATATTTTGATATTAAAATTAGAAAAATTCATAGAAGAATCCATCTTATTATATTTTTATATTTTTATTAGGTTAAATATATATTGAAAACTACGGTTGTGCGATAATAATTAAATTAATGAAAATTCAATTCATTATGTAAAAAAAAACCACAATTGAGAAAAAATATTATCGATAATTTAAAATCCTAATGACTAATCAAAAATTTATTAATTTATAACTATCAAAATTTTGTTTGTAAGTTTATAAATTAGTTAAAATTAATATATACATTGAATATCTAAGTTTTGTATGTATAGATAACTTCTCGACTCTGCTGTGATTATTTCCTTTCCCATGTACAGACTTATTTCCAATTTTCCACTCATAATCCTTTTACTTCATCATCAAAAATCATTAAGATCATAAATAATTTGATCAGAATTACCTTCATAATTGGTTTAATAAATTTATTATAACAACAAATATTGATTATTCTACTTGATTGTGTATGTAAATATTTGGAGACATATCTCCTCATGTTGTTAGAGTTGATAGACTATTGGGCTACAAATAATCAAATAATTACATGGAGAGGGGCATGTGGGACGAGACAAGACTGTACAACTTGTTCAAGAATCAGATTTTTGGTTGGGAATGCATAGCGAGATCGAGAAGTTTGTGCAACGGTGTTGCATTTGTCAAATGTGGAAGCATACGGCTACGAATGTTGGATTATACACACCGTTACCTGTGCCGACCAAACCATGGGTTGACATCAGTGTGGGCTTTGTAGTGGGTTTGCCCCGCACACAACAAGGTAACGACTCAATTTTCGTTATGGTTGACCGCTCTTCGAAAATGGTGCATTTTATACCATGTAAGAAGACGACAGATGATGTCAATGTTACCCAACTTTTCTTTCGTGACATCTATCGCCTCCACGAACTTCAGATTGTGACACACGGTTCCTTAGTCACTTTTGGTGTACTCTATGGAAAATGGTAAATACAAAACTCAATTTTAGTAGCGCCTACCACGCACAGACGGATGGTCAGACCGAAGTTGTTAATCGCTCTCTCGGAAATCTTCTTTGTTATCTAGTTTGCGATCACCCAAAGAGTTGGGATAACAAATTGAGCCAAGCTGAGTTCTCCCACAACCACACTACTAACCGTAGCACCAGATTCAACCCTTTCCTGGTCGTGTACTCCGCTCAACCACGGGGACTGTTAGATCTCCTCCCATTTCCGAGCACCACAAATGATGAAGGGAGAGTTATTGCTTTTGTTGAAGGACTACTTGATACCCACAAGGCTGTGTATGACAACCTAACTACTGCCAATGCCAAGTACAAGTTCAATGCTGACAAAAAACATCGTCGCGTAGAGTTCGAAATCGGAGATTTTTTCTGGGCCATACTTACCAAGGACCATTTCTCTGCCGGTGATTACAACATACTTAAGTCAAAAAAGATCAGACCTGTAGAAGTCATTGAAAAGATAAACCCCAACACTTACCGCCTCAAACTCCCAAGTCACGTCCTTACTTCCGATGTAGTCAATGTCAAACACCTTATTCGTTTCTCTGATGACGATCCGGACCAGACTTCGAGGGCGAATGGAATGATGTGGGCCGAGACTTGGAGGAAAAGGCCCTAGCTATTTTGGATCGATTTAATGTGCTACGTGTTTACGTTTGTGGGTTGATTATCCATTTTTTTATTCTTATTTTGACTTGGGTTTTGTGTTTGACTTTGGGTTTTTGTTTCCTGTTTAAAACTCATTGTTTTGACAGAAGGATCAGTTTTTGGAGAAAAAAGAAATTGTTCCCAGTTTGTTCCAATACCTAACTCTCTATAGGATTTTGTATTGTTGCCTTAATCCCGTATTTACATCATTGTGAATCAAACGGGTATGGAAGAGTCATGGTTGGTATTAGTGTGTGAATCAACATCTGTGATTGTTTTATCAAGTTATGGGGTTAACCTGCTCAATTTCCCTAATAATTATAAAGAATTGATGTTATATGTAAATTTCATTTAAAAAAATCAACAACTACTAATCAAGGATCATATAAATTCTAAGAGAAGCAAGTGTAAACCTAATTGAGATCATGTTTGCTGTTTTGGTTTAGAGAAAAAGGGATCCCATTCATGAACACCCATAGTCTCCTCCTCATCTTCTTCTTCTAACAACGCATATTTCCAACTAAGTTCTTCAATAAAACCACCATTATTCCTCCGCCCAGCAACCAAATCCCTTCTCAATTTCGTCACCTTGTTGATAACCGCTTCCACAGATAGATCAAATGCGTCTTTTAAACTCTCCAATCTGGAACGAGGATCGGCATATATCAACCTCGGAATCAAATTCACCACCTCCTTCCTCATCATCTTTACAGTTTCGGAATCGATTTGACCTAACCGCTGTTCGATGCTGATATTCCGGCGAATGTCGTCTTCCGGGATAAAAATGGAATATTTTGTATACTTCTTCGGGAGATGCCACGTGTACTGCGTGTAAAACGAAGCGGGATGAAAGAAAACCGGGATACAACCCGCCAAAATCGAATCGAAAGCTGATCTTCGTGTATATGAATCGCCAGGTGGTTGTAAGCAGAAAACCGAACGTTGAAACATTTTCATTATATTACTTGGGGAATGACACTTGCTTACATCATTTCCACATTCTAAAAGCTTCCCCGAGTTTGAATTCTTGCATTGATCGATTAAAAGACTTCGAATTGATTTCGGGTTACCTGGACGTGGAGCTCCGGCGAAACAGAACAGCCATTTCCGGTCAAGTTTCATCATCCGGTTTTGCCAAGTGAAAACATCGGAATCTTTTGATGGATGGAAGTAAGTAGGGTATGGAATGGCGAAATCGTTTGAATTAAATGGACTTGATTCTATGAGAAGAACTGACATGTTCTTGGAAGCTGGTAAGAATAAGAACTTGTTTCCCCAATCGGTGTCTTTGTTGCTTAATCTCCTGAAATCCCAAGTGATTCTTCCTCCGACGAGAAAATGATCTTTTCCGTTCATCACTTTCCATTCATCTCTATTCTGCAACCAATCAACAAGATCAAGCGACGCAGCATCCCTTACGGATGTGTTATACCCCCAAAGATATCTCGAAGCATCAAACCCTGCGTAAAATGGGACGAAAATGGCGGCTGCCATTGACGAATCGTTGGTCAAGCATTCGTATTGTTTCATTCGGTTTCTGAAGATGACGTCGAGGGTGAACTGATTGGTGGCGTACCATCCATTATCTGAAAACACACCTTCCGTATTCTCTAATGGCGGTCCAAGCCCAGAATTCTTAATGAACTTACACATATCGAAGAATCTGTTAATGCTACCACATTCCTTCACCATATCTTCATTGAATCTGGAAGGAAGATCATGAACATAAACGTACCTTCCACCACAGAGGTCACTCTTATTGTCTATGGTTCTTAATGCTTTTATAAAAGGGAAAACCTTTGGGGTTTTGGATGGAGAAACAGCCGATTCGGATTCGACATTCTCTGGTTCGTGACTAACAGGTATAAGTATAGATTCTTGAATCCTAGATTGATTTGAGGTGGGACTGATTTGAAGACTGCTGCTCCAGAAAGTTCTACCTTGGAAAACACCGAAAGGGGAGTATAATAAGCAAAACCAAAAGAGAGCACAAAGTAATCCAAATACACACATTATACTAGATTGATGGAACACATGGCCGCTCCCCTTCTCCATGGATGCTATTGCTGGCCGGTGAATGAATCGGCGTCTTCTTAGATTTCAGAAAAACCAAATCAATGAAAATCTCCACGAAATGAATGTAAGTTTCGTTCAATCAAGAAACTATGATCGATTAACGCTGCAAATTCTGTACTTATGATTCGAACTCCAGTAATTTAATGAGATGGAGGTTAGAATGACCAGGGGGAATGATTTATGGGATTATTTCTATGGAGAGAATGAGATGTAGTGGTGGCGACAACGGGGTAATAAATTGCTCTGTAGTGTGAATACTTAATAATGGGTAGTCCAAGGATGAAGACGAAGCTTAAGTTAGCGTCATTAGCGCATTGTATGCATATGGTATTTTACTACTTTTTCCAAAAGCAATGTGGTAGCCACTAACCGTGTGCCGCGTGGCGGCTTCTTTCCGGTAATCATTCCGATTCCTGGTCAAAACAGTTCTTCCCGCATATTCTGCCATATTAACGCCAAAACTATTTCGAGAAATTATTTCTGACTTCTTTTTCCAATCAATTTTGTGTTATGATATATTTTTTCTATTAAAAGCTAAATGGTAAATTGTAAACTTTTAATTGGATAAAAAAATTTCGGTTACTTTATTTGATTCAGAGTATATATATCATAGATTCGTAAATATTAATTTTAGAGATTAGAGATATATTTTCTAAGTAAGCTATTCAGATAAATGAAAACTTTATCTCTAAGTTTTTAATCTGAATTATTTTTTCACCTATCAATTATTATATTAATGTCAATAACATTTTTAGCCTTACATGTTTTTTTTGAATTTTTTGGCTGGAAAACGTTTTAAATATTTAAAATGCAAGTAAATACTTTTATTGAATCAAATTGAAGTAAGGATTACTTTATCGTTTATTCCCCAAAAAATTGTACAAAGATCTTTTTTTTACAAAGTCTCTTCAGTTTACTTTTTTACAAGTTAGTGATTACAATTAAAATTTATAACTTCAATTTATTAAACGTTGAATACCTTCCGATGCAATGAGTAAAAGTTTCCATTTTAGAATGAATCGAAATAAATACAATATTACTTGTTATAATACGTATATCATATGCATATATGATTAAGAACCAAACATGCCGTTTTGCTATCAGTCAAATTGATTGCTATATCTATTTTAATAGCCTAAAAACAACATTTTACCTTTTAAGACAATTTGCAGTCAAAAAACACTAAAATATTAAACAATCTGTCATTGGAAATTTAGAATCTTCTTTACCAATAATATATTATATATAACGTTATAAAAACCTATAATATTATTCGAAATCCTTATATTCTTTGTATTTTTATATTTATTAAGCATGCATCAAGACCTTGAATCATTTTGATTTTACAGACCCGATACACATGGAACAAACAAATTCTATCATCTTTATGTTTTGTAGGTATTGGTTGTGTGGAAGTAATTAGATGCGATCCATATCTAGCGGGGTGGCAATTGGCATTGAGATTTGAGTCCTAGACCCTCGCACACATTATCTCTTACACGTGATGTTGCTTCGAAATGTAATGGTGGGAGAGAAAAAGGAGCAAAATATATAAATTATTTTTGGTTTGTATAAATGGAATGGACTTATTGAGTTAATACATACATCATTTTGTTTATTCTGAATCTTGTATATAGTGAAAGGTTTATAACTTTATATATTGAGCCTCAATATCAATGTTCCTACACATAATTATATCTACATAGTTGTGAATGACAAGTTTTTGGATCTTACAACTCATATACACAGACGTGCAAGCTCTTTCGTTATATTGATCGAGATTCGGAATTCTATATAGTTGTATGGTTTATTTATAAGGGAAAATGACATTGTAACATGAAGAATAGTCAACAAATACACATATGATGTAAACCGTGAAGTATAGTTAACAAGGCACCTAGCTTCTACAACATCTTTAACTAAAAACGACTCAAGAGTCAAGACGATTGTCGACCAAAATGTTAATGGTGGCTGTTGACGAGAGCATTGGATAAAGAGGAAATTATTGTAGATTAAAAGGAAAGGATTGTATTCATTATTAAGTCATAGAATGTAGGCTATCTTCTTGTAATTCTTTTGTATTATATATTCCTGTATCATCCGTAAATGAGAATCAATTTTAGATCTGCACCAAAAAAAAGTCTCATATTGCTCTGTAATTCCTTTGTTCTTTATGGTATCAGAGCGTGGTTCAACTCTTTGAATCTGAAAATCACGAATTCGAAACCTACAAATGGGCGACAAGACAGATACGACAAACCAAAACCCGGTGATTGTCCAGAATGTCCAGGATGCTCCGTTTCCGACTGGAATCACCCTTGACGACACGAACTACCCGCTGTGGTCTCAACTAATGGAGATGCGCATCGGGGCACGAAATAAATCCGGTTTTATCACCGGAAAAACTCCAAAGCCCACGAACGGCGATAAAAAGGACCTTGAAGCCTGGCTGATAGACAACAATCGAGTCAAAAGCTGGCTGATTGACTCGATGACTCCTTCCCTAATCCGCCGGTTCATTAGGTTGCAGACGGCGGCGGAAATCTGGGAGGCTGTCGGCAAAACCTTCTTTGACGGAAGTGACGAAAGTCAACTATTCGAACTTAACCGGCGATCATTCAACACCCGACAGGGTGGACGTGCACTGCCAACATACTATAATGAACTGGTGAGCATCTTTCAAGAAATCGATACTCGAATCACTACACAAGAGGAAACTGTCGATGAATCTGTTTCGGTAAACAAGACGATTACACGCCTCCGTGTACACATATTTTTGGCAGGACTAGATGCAAAATTCAGTCAAGCTAGAAGCGAAATCTTAAGGAACGACCCACCGCTAAGCCTGGAATCAAGTTACGCGTACATCCGAAGAGACTACAGCCAAAGACAAACCATGGAGGAGACCAAAGTTGACCCCGATAGCCTCGTGCACATGGTCTCACGTAATGGTCCAAAAAAAGAAAAAATTACAACTGGGAAGAAGAACTCTTTTACGTGTACACATTGCGGAGAAGAGGGCCACTCAAAACAAAGATGTTATGAAATCATTGGATATCCGGATTGGTGGGATTTCAAGAAAAAGCCAAAGAAAAAACTCAGCCAAGCGACAGTTGTGACATCAACTCAAGATACTCCAATGGCGGCTCACACCACCACGTCTGACTCTGGTATGTGTTGTAAAACCCAAACGAAAATTAATAACTGGATCATAGACACAGGTGCCACAGACCACATGATAAATGATAAACAACTTTTGACATCTCCATGTACCCCTAAGCGCAGTGTAATCCAAACAGCAAGTGGGGAATCAGAAAAAGTTACATGTGAAGGAAGGGTACAAGTGTCTAATTCTATAAACCTTGATTCAGTTCTTGTAGTTCCATCTTTATCATCTAACCTGCTATCAGTTAGTCAAATCACAGAAGCCTTGAATTGTTATGTAATTTTCTGGCCAAATTATTGTGTGTTTCAGGACATAGCAACGCACAAGACTCTTGGTTATGGTACTAGGCGGGGAAAATTGTATTACCTGGAGGAAGATTATAGGAGTCAAGCGTTTCATACGGGAATAAAAGAGGCGAATAAGTCTATGGCGATGTTATGGCACCGTCGTTTAGGGCATTTATCTTTTGGTTATCTCAAAAAACTAAAACCAGATTTGTTTTTAAATTTAGTTGAAAGTGAATTTAAATGTGATATTTGTGAGTTAGCAAAGAACACAAGGATTTCGTATGTTTCTAGCAATAATAAAGTTTCTGTTCCTCTTATTAAAATACATTCTGATGTATGGGGGCCTGCCCCGATTCTTACACCTAGTGGTGCTCGTTACTTTGTAACATTCATTGATGAGTGTACTAGAATGGTTTGGGTTTCCTTGCTAAAGAATAAGAATGATGTACTATCAGCATTTAAAGAACTATACCACCATATCAAGACTGAATATAGGGTTGATATCCAAATATTGCAATCTGATAATGGTGGTGAATACACAAGTCAAGAGATGACTCGTTTTTGCCAGGAGAACTCTATTCGACAGCAAACCTCTTGTGCTAGAACTCCCCAACAAAATGGCTTGGCTGAAAGAAGGAATAGACAGCTACTGGAAATTATACGTGCCTCTTTGTTTGACATAAATGTACCACAAAATTTATGGGGAGAAGCCGTGAGGTCAACTGCATACCTCATGAATAGGATGCCATCTCGTGTTCTAGAGTTTGCCACACCTTTACAAAAGTTACAAGAGCTTGTAAAACAACCCATCAAACTAGGACTTGAACCACGAATATTTGGTTGTACATCGTATGTCCACCAAAACACCGGGAAACTCGAACCAAGGGCAATAAGGTGCATTTTTATAGGGTATGCACATCAGAAAAAAGGTTATAGATGTTACAACCCACTTGAAAAGAAAATTTATGTATCACGCGATGTTTCGTTTCACGAATCTGTGAAGTTTTATGGAGATGAGAATTCACTTCAGGGGGAGAGAAACGGAGAAGTAAATTCTCATAAAACTGAGGTAGCTGAATTTGTTGTGGAGGAGGACTTCGAACAGCGAGAAAATTATCAAAACGACAACTCAAATGAAAACCCAGCTGGGGCCGAAACAGAGCCCACTGAGTCTGAATCTGGTTCTGAGGATGATGGGCCTGAACTAACCAATAATGAAAACTGTATGTTTGATGTTGTGCAGGAAAACGAAGCCCAGGACCAAGATCAGGCATCCGACGCTGAACCTGAGGCCCAAAATTCTGTTCCAGTCGCTGAACATGAACATCGGCTCCCTGTTAGGAGTACACGAGGGATTCCAAAACCTCAATATCAAGCTGATTTAAATGCAAAAGGGAAATACCCGATCGGAAATTATGTGTCATATCATCGCCTCGCAAGATCGCACCTGGCTGTCATCGACAAGTTATCAATTGTATCAATTCCCCGAGATGTACACGAAGCAATGAAATACATAAGATGGAAGA